AGTTATATGTACATCACGTAAAGGTGCAGGGCAGTGCATGAGTGAGTGAAGGAGGAAGAAGATGATCTTCGTCAGGAGATCAGAATCAGAATCAGAGTTTATTGCCAAGTACATTTACACATACAAGGAATTTGACTTGGTGTATTGGTGCTAAACAATTAACAAGGAAATAAAGCAGAACTAGCAACAACTTAATGATACATTAAAAGAAGCTATTACAAATATATAAAATGAATTTAAAAATATAAAATATAAATAAATATATATAAGAACACAAAATGTACAAAAGGTGCAAAGTGGAGAGGTGGCTGATGAGTGACTAAGAAAAAAATCAGAGTGCATGTAGAGAGATACATTTTTGAAGTCCAGTGGCCGTTAATGTAACGCATAAAGAACAAGTTTCAGCATTCACATTACTTTGATGTTACAATAGATAATATTCAAACAAAAATATCTTCTTCATCAGTAGCATGACTGCAATAAGAGTAAAATTGTCTACACATTTGCACAAATGCCACACACTTACCTTCTGATCAAAACATGTTAACTTTCAAACTCTTCACAACTTCTAAACTTTCAGTCATTATGAGTCGTCACAAAACAAAATGGTCCATTCGGTTATCAGACTGGTCAGAAATATTTATTTATAAATATCTAAAACATGGGGTGTTTGTGGTGTCTGCTAAATCTGCCCATGAGCTGTCAGCTTTCAGTAAGGAACGAGGAAACACAAGGGAGTCATTTTGTGGCTAATTGTCTGTGAAGAATTTGCATGAAAGAGCAAAGGGGAATGTCCTAACAAGTTGTTACACAGACAGAGTTACTGCAGACAAGATGAAAAATCGTACCAATGTGATTAATAAACCCACAGAAGAATACAAATCTGTAAAATAGCAGAACAAATAGCTTACTTAACCACTCAAAGTGTTCTTTTGATTAACAATATGCAACAAAAACACAACAATTATTTAGTGTTGAATAAAGAAAAAATAATAATCATTTTTAAGACATGGTTAATTTTCTTTTATTCTACATTTTTTGTATTCTATCTGAAATCTGAATATTTAAATGCAAATGTTGATATTTAAAGTTAAAAACTGGCTGTGTCTCAAAGGGAAAGGCAGATCACTTTCTTTATAGGCTACATGTAATTTTTTTTAGCTACAAAATCTGTCACTGAAATCTTGCTGATGATGAACTTTCATAATTTAAATCAAAAAGTTTAAGAAAAATTAAAAGGGGGAATTTCAGATGATGTGTGGTTTATCTGAAACTTTTTATGCAAAACAGTTGTTTTCTACATGGACTGTTCTGTGGCGGTTGCTGTGCCACAGCCTTCTAACATGCTGTAGACAGCGACACCCCATGGCAAAGAGGAGCTACTGCATCCTATTCTTACCAAATAGCAGGACGTTGCCTAGACTGACCTTCAGGGTGACATCTCCTATAGCAAATTAATTCTCTAAAACATTGACATGCTGCTTCGAGCAATACTTGGGGGTGATTCTTCAAGCACACACTAAGGAGATTGATTTAAAGTACAAGTAGTTTTCAGACTTTCTTTAAGGCGAAGCACGGCAGGCAAAAACAAGACATACAATTTTCATGCACTGGTCAATTTTGAGATTTTGGGCTAGTTCACTCCTTGAACATGTAATATTTCAAACTACCATAAAGAAAAAAATCAAATTATACATTCATGTGTGTATTTATAGGCTATTATTATATACATGAACTGCCTTCTTTATTTACGTTCTCTGTTGATTCCTAAAGCTGTCAGCAGCTGTAGCCTTGAATCTGTCCTTTCAGGAACTCGCTCTGTCTTTGGTGAAATTGCTTTCAGTGTGTTTGCTCCATCATCTTGTTCTGAGCTGAATAGTCACCTTATTTAACTAGAGCATTTAGTCGGCTTGGAAGATTTTAAAAGCAGGATTAAGTATCATTTGACGACTGTATGCACATGGTTCTCTTCTGAACTCTACTGATTTGTTGATTGATGTCATATTTGTTTATCGTCTGTCTTTTGCTCTCCGTCTGAAACTTGTATGCTGCTGTCTTGGCCATGACTCTCTTGCAAAAGAGATCTCAATGAGAATATTTCCCTGGTAAATAAAATAAAATACAAATAAATTAAATGGCATCTTGTTTATCTTGTACTTTTAAAAGAGGTTGAGTGCCATGTTTTTATATTTGTTCTTGATTAATGAATAATAAAAATAAGAGTCGTAAATGGCAGCGTGATGACGTCATGACGCACACATGGATTGTTTACTGTCAGAGCGTGAGGGGGCGCTCATGATGTTTCATGCTGTAAACACTGAATCTCTTCACTCTACACACGGGGATTTATTAGCTCGAAGGCCACGGCGCCTCAAAAACAGGTTTCGGGTTTAATTTCGTGCTGCTTTAATTTTTGTCACGACGCTGGAATTGATGTCACAAAATGAAGATGACTGACCTATCGTAGGAGCAAACGATGCTAACGTTAGCACGGCTAGCTAACAGCGTTTCAGGTGAAGAAAAGTACCACCGTCAGTTTGTTGTCTTGAAACCTGTGTCATCGGTATGACTGGTAGATTTTAGCTTTGTTTGCACATCAGTATTTGGAGGATCGTGTCTTAAGTTATGTAACCATCCAGCTGTCTCTTTTAGCTTGTTAGCTAGCAGCTGTTGTTGTTGTGGCTCTCAGTTGAAGGATCCTTGCAGCGGTCTCTGGATGGGGTGGAGTTTGTGTTAGTGTTGCCCTGAAGGCTACAATAACGTCATTTTTTTTAGTTGGCGATTGTGGAGTACGTTGTCAGACAAAATGGTGTTTCGAAGTTGCTGGAAATCTCGACATAAAAACGTCTCTGGAGCTGCTGGTCCTCGTTGGATCCGACCCGGATTGGCAGCCCTCCTCTGGTTCTGTGTGACCCAGTTTGTCTGCGGGGCGGTGGGCGAGACCAAAAACGTGGTCCAGAAGGACGCAGAGTTTGATGTCACCTATAACGACACGGTTACAAGTGAGAACCAGACCATCTATGCTTTCAATCACACCATCTCCAGGAACAAGGTGAGTTGACCACATCACAACCATGGCTTTGATTTACTCACTAAACAACAACAACAACAACAACAACAACAACAACAACAACCAAGCTGTTGTTGTGAAACTATGACACCGTTTGAAAGTGGAGTTGAAGCAAACACGAAACATGATTTTCACAAGATACTTAAGATAAGGCTTTAAAATTGGATGTTAATTATTTAATCTATTTATGTACTTAACTTATTTCCCTGTTGAAAAGAATGGGATGCCGTTAAGGGAATCAATAAATCAATAAATAAATCAATAAGAACATGAAACCTTGAACCTTGAATAAAATTCGTCCATTTACCTCTGATCTTGGAGCTGATAATGACGTCACTCCCTAGATAACAACTGGGACATAACAACAGGAGCCCCTTTGTTTTGTTAGTACCAGAAAATAAAGTGACAACATGTCAACAAATCTAAATATAACTGTCATGATACAGAAAAAGAGGACTAAGCTGCTAACAGACACTAAGTTAATGTCTAATCTTGCTGTTGATGCATGGAGCAGCCTGCTCTGAGTTTCCCAGTGGGAATTCCGACTTAACAGAGGCGTTCCCGATGAGGTATCAAACCGGCAACTCAGAATTTCCAACTTCTGAAGTCAAATGGAAAGCACCATGAATACACTGAATGAGCATCTGAATATTCTGAATGTGTGAAATATAACCTGTTTCCCCCCTTGTCTTTGGGTTTCAGACGGAGGGAGTGCGTGTGACCGTAGACGTGTTGTCACAGGGTTTGGAGAGTCCGATCCTGTTTGTCGTACGGCAGAAGCAAGCTGTGCTGTCATTTCAAGTCCCTCTCATACTGAGAGGCCTGTGAGTATCCCCACTTCACTCACCAGTTGTAAACTGGACTCCACTGGAAACTAGGAAGAAGAGACTGGTGTAGATTGTTTCCCATGAAACTCTTCTGAACCTTTTGCAGACCAACAATATTTCCAATGTAAAGACCAGCTGCACATTTTATTGTTCTGGGTCTGTCAATAAAAGTGAACGTAACTATAACTAATCAGCTAAGTTAAACAAAGTTCAAATCACCTGGAAATTATGAGCTGTAAGGTTGCAAGACATTACCGTGAAAAATTCTACTTTGCAGGTTTTAAAAACAATACAATCCCTCAAAAAGTACCAAAGCTTTAAAAGAACTTATTTTTAACACAAAAGCTGCTGAGAGAGAGAGAGAGAGAGAGAGAGAGAGAGAAGAGAAGAGAGAGAGAGAGAGAGAGAGAGAGAAGAGAGAGAGAGAGAACTGCTTACGTTACTGAGACGTATCATATCTAAATTTAAAAATCTGGAATTGTGACACGCCTGATTCGCTGTGCTTGCTTTATCTTTTGTAGGTCTGTGATCCAGGTTTTGATTGATTTTTTATCATTTTAAGGAATAATCCTTATTTGGAGATGGGGATGTTGTATTTGAATTGCCCCCCAGGGACAAATAAAGTTTTTTGAATTTTGAATTGAATTTAGCATTTTGATGGATTTAGGCATTTCTTATATCTATACAATTTTTCATTGTTCATGGATTTAGCAAGCCTTCAGGTCGGCTGATGACTACAAAATCTATGTCCTTTAATATGTTCTGGATTAAACCCCAGCAAAGCAAGAGCAGTTTTGGTAACCTGACCCATCGAGTGGGGTTTCCAAACATTTTAAAGGTTCAGCTGTGTGTGTGTGTGTGTGTGTGTGTGTGTGTGTGTGTGTGTGTGTGTGTGTGTGTGTGTGGTGTGTGTGTGTGTGTGTGTGTGTGTGTGTGTGTGTGTGTGTTGTGTGTGTGTGTGTGTTGTGTGTCTACCACTCCGGAGGTTAACGTCTGTAATTGTGCAACACCTAAACTTCCTCGCCACAGCCTTGCTTGTTCAGTCCCCTCACGTGGTCAGGCATGTTTCAGCTGATTAGTGATGATCCTTGGACTTTCATTTCCTCCTCTGAGATACACAAGTGCTGATCTGAAGGCCGTGCTTACTGTAAACGAGCTACATATGTCATCAGAGTATAGTTACTTCTGGTTTATGAAGATACTGCATCATGCTCTTTGCTTGAAAACAACCCACGCCCCTCGCTTTGCTCCGTGTAGCAGCACTTCATAGGGCTGCTTTGGTATTGATCCTGTCCAGAGGTTATTAACGAGGCAGGATCTAGAGAGGTCATGTGATTTTGAAAACAGCACTCCTTTAAGATTCAGTATTATTCTATGTCCAAAATCTCATTAAAAAATACTTCCCCTTCATGAACTCGTCCATTTCATCATTTACTGCGGCTCTCCCATCAGAGCTGTGTTTAATGACAACACTCAAACATCTGAAGGGGAACTTGAGCACTCTTATTGCTTCCTCTGCCCGTTTGTTAACCCCTCTCTCTCTCTCTCTCTCTCTCTCTCTCTCTCTCTCTCTCTCTCTGTCTCTCTCTCACTCCTCTGTGTCCAGCTACCAGCGGAAGTACCCCTACAATCATGTGGGCCGAACGCTGTGTCAGCCTCCGACCCGGGCGCTCTCAGAGACCCAGTACTTCTTTGTGGATGTGTCTACTCTATCCAGCCAGGGCACCAACTACCAGCTCAGGGTCAGCCGTGTGGAAAGCTTCACCCTGCAGTGAGTTATTTGAGATGTCACGTTTCATACAGACGTGGCATGAATTCCACGGCTCATTTAATTTGACAACAACTGGGTTTGGTGGAAACCAGCTTGCTGTTGTGTCTGACGTATCATCTTCGCCTTGATTACAGGACGGACAAGAAATTCAGCTTTACTTGCGTCACCATCCCAACCTCAGGTAAACAGTATGACCCGTAGCTTTGTGTTTTGATGGATGACACAAGGTGCATCTGTACGACAGGGAAGTTCCAGACACAGATGTTTGGAGCAGACAGGGCGAGGGGGGGGGGTTGAGAGAAACAAGAGTGAGGGAAAAAAGAGGATGGTAAGAACTTAGGGATTTCCTTAGTTTACGTAAGGGCTCTCTGACAGGTTCTGATTTTGTCATCTGTCCTCCTGTAGCAGCTCTTAGATGAAGCCTTTTATC